CTTCTCCATCTTTTCCATCTCGCGATAGAAAAAGGGATCGAAGAAGGCAGGGGGTGCTGCGAACCGCTCGTTCGCCTCGCCATCCAACAAGTCCCCGTGGGCCAAGATCATCTGGACACCCTTGCGGATGTCGGCCAACTCGGCGGCGTCAATCTCGGTCGCAGTGTGGACGAACATCGCCTTGATGCGTTCGTCCGAGCCGTCGTCGAAGTGTTCCTTCAGCTGACCAACGAAATCACGGAACTGGCCAATGGCCAGGACGCGGATCTCGTTAGCCGTGCGAAGAAGCCCACCGTACGCGTCCAAGGTGTCGGCGAGACGGTTGGCGGACTTGTTGAGGTCTGAAAACGTCGTCAGAAACGATCAAAAATAGAAATGAAAAAGAGTGGACTCTTACCGTCCGCGCTCATCTGCGCGATGTACCCGAAGCGTTGCCCCATATACAGCTGCTCTGCGGGCTTGTAGCCGTTGGTGCAAGTCTGTTTATAGAGCACGCACGGGGCGCACCGATTGCCGTGGCGCCCGTCAACGCTCTTGAAGCAGACGCGCTGCCGCGTCACGCACATCGCGCAGGGCCTTGGCGCGACCTCCTATGAAAAAGGGAGTCAGTCGTCGAGGCATGGCAGAAAAAGATAAAGAAACGTACGAAGTCGGTTGGCACCTCGACGCCGGCCCTCTCCAACTTCCCCGCGAACCCTTGGCGTGCCACCAAAAGGAGCGCCTCGGTGTCGTAGGCGGCGGGAGTGAACGGAGCTCGGGGCGTGGGAGCCGACGCCTTCGCAGGAGTCTAGAAACAAGTCAAGTCAGTAAGAAGTCGACGACAAGAAAAAGTCGCGACTCACCGAGTCAGATTTCTTCTTGGCCGCCGCAACGGACTTTTCTGCCTTCTGAGCCTTGAGCTCGGCCTTGGCCGCCGCAACACTCCGCTCGCGACCAAGGGTCGCGGCCACCCTGCCCAACTCACTGCGTGGAGTCTTGGTAGCGGCGGGAGCCGCCTGGGCAACCTAGAAAAAAAAAAAAAAAACGAATTAGTCGACGTCTGGGACCCAAGGTTTGTGTCTCACCTTAGCCACTGGGGTCGGGGTAGTTGTCGCTCGCGGGGCGCTCGCCTTGCGACTGGCCTCCACCTTGGGCACCGGTTGGTGGGGCACGGACTTGGTTGACTTGGATGAACCATCCGCGACCTTCTTGATTGGCTAAAAAGCTAGATTAAGGGGCGTGGTCTGGGAAAGAGGAGCCGGCTTACCTTGGGCTTGACGCGGGTCTCGCTGACCTGCTTCTTGGCCACGACGAAGTCGCCGGTCTCCTCTCCGCTCTCGGAGGTGTCGTCCATGACGATGACGGACGGGGCTACGAAAGTATGAGTAACCGACAGAGGGGGGACAAGAGGAAAACGTACTCAGATTCGATCGCGCTTTCCCCTTGGACTTGGGCCCCTGTCAAAAACAAACCAACCATGAGACGAAGGAACCGCGATCGACGAACTGGGTCACTTACCTGAAGGGCCAGTTCGTCGGCCGAGGACGCGTCTCCCTCCTGGACCCCTTCGTCGTCGACATCCATCGCAGTGTCGGCGACGGCGGCGGCTTCCTCATCGCTGAGGGGCTCGGGCTGCACAGGCTGTGCTTGGATCCGGGCTGGGAGGGACCAAGTGGTTAGTCTAAAGATCAATGAAATAAGACATAGGATCACACACCTGCGTGCATCTTCTTGTGGACGCGCTTGGGAGGTGACCCCTGTGGAATAGGGACCGAGGTAGCGGCTACGACAAGTCAGTACCCGCGACTCTGGTGAATGAAAGGAAAGAGCCACTTACGAGTAGGCGCGTGGGACGACGCCTTGGGCTCCTTTGCGGGAGTCGCCTTGGGTCGCTTCCCCTGCGACTTCTCGCTCGACTTCTTGGCGACAGCGACCTTGCTGCCCGCGACGGCGGCAGGGGCCTGCGGCTTGGAGCCGTCACCCTTCCCCTTCTGCTTGGCAGGCCGGGACGACGAAGGGGCGGCGACTTGTTCGGTTGGAGCCGCCTGGGAGTCGATCAGAACATAGTGAAACGAACGAAATAGAGTATACGTACGGGCTCGACGACTCGCTTGCGTTTCTTTGGCGGCGACGACTCCTCGACTGGAGCGTTGGTGGTCAAGGGCGTAGGCGCCGGCTAGCCCTTACGTTAGTGAAAAGAATGGAAGGCCAAAGCGAACAGGCGCGGCAATCATTGATCGCCGTGACTGCTCGCTCCAGCGGGCTTAGAACGGAGCTCACCTGCTGAATCTGGCGGACGTCGACGGCCATCTGCCGCAACATCTGGTTGTAGGCCTCGGGGCTAGGCAGGTGGTGAGTTGGATCGACAAGCCATGGGAGAGACCTTGACGGACGGCATGAACTGCCGCCAGTCGATGGCAGGCAGGTTTGCTCCCGGGACAGCTGATTCGGTGACCGCTGATGGATGGTTAGCGTGGTTGAAAAGTCGCGGTAACCGTCTTGGGCGTCACTCACGGTTGGTGTCTTGGGGGCGGGGGCTCTGGTCGGGCGCGGACATGGTGGTCGAAAAGCAAGAGTGTCTCGTACTAGGGAGACTCTCGACCCTGAAAATTGAGGGCATTTATATGGTGAACATGCCGGAAGAAGCTTGATCGCGGCAAATCACGGAAGGAACCGAACAACCAAATGAATAAGACGTGGGAACATAACTCTATGTCTCCACGGCTTTAATAATAAATAAATGAGACGTCGACTTTTGGACTTAGACCTGACGCAGTGAGACTGTCGCGGGATTGACCAGGAGGTCAAAATTAGTGTTCCTGGGAGATGATAGGCTGGCTACCAGACGCGCTCTGCACCAACTCTGTAAGGGCGTATTTTTGCGCTTTTTACAGAGTTTACTCTTGAACCATTCGGTGCATCGTGTCGCGGTTGACAGTGTTGCGCTCAGTAGGACTTAAGGGTCTACTGCCCAGTCGACGACTGTGGATAGTGTCGACGATAGCAAGGCAGTCAGACCACTACTGTGGAACTGGTCTTATGAGTCTACACCAGGCTCAGGGCTATTAGTGACGAACGCTTGGACCGCGACCATTCCCCAGAAAGGGATCTGTCGTTGCGTCGACTTCTCGAAAAGGGTCATTCTCTGCAGATGGGAACTTGGGCTGAAGGGCTGAGCAATGCGCGACGTTCTCAATAATAGAACTACTACTGGACAGGACTTGGCGTTACGAGACTTAAACCATCTTGTCGCGGCAACTCCCGGTTTTGAGTTGGACGTTTCCTCAGATCATGCCACGACGACGACTTGTCACATGTCAGGATCCATTCGATCACGGGACATTGTGGACGCGTCGCGGTGACACTTCCAAGTGTCACGGCGAGTCGCGTCCATACCCAAACACATTAAAATCGACACGGCTAGATCCGTGAACCGAGCCATGTGGGGGACGACTGGCGCACCTAGGGCCATACGGCTTCTTGGGGCGCCCACGTTGGTCTCACATGCCAAGACATACCCGTTGGCCAATCCAGCACGTCGTATTCCAAAAGTATGACGCGGTGAGTTGGCCCACATCAAAAGTATCATATGGACAATGGGGCGGGGTCCTGATCACTCAGGACCTGTCCAATCGTTCAACTTTTCAATTACCCTAAAAGGCAACCGATCTTAGATAGCGTAGCTACTATGCAGTTGTACAGGACTTTACTAAGCAGCGTCGTAGACAGTATAAGTAGCACGTCGTCTCTTTGTATTAGGAAGCTTTCCCCCGGACTGTGAATCACTCTCATTTCAGATTGTTTTGTACAATTTGCGTGCCGCGTGATTCCACCCTGAGAAGTTCTGCCATCCCTGCCTGGTCGCGACGAGTTGCTCCCTGAGCACTTGTAGCTACTGTGATTTGAGTTTGAGTTGAGATATCAGAAAGTCGGATTCGCCGCATCTGGTATTGTCGTGGCATTTAGTGTCGTCGCCTTAGGGCTTTGTTGAGATCGTTCCACACCTCTAGCTTGGCAGTGCGTCGACTAGTTGTGCTCGGGTTGTTTTGGTCAGTTGGCAGTGCGTCGACTTGAGAACTTTGGTTCCACACTTCTTGCTTGGCAGTGCGTCGACAAGTTGTGCTTGGGTTTTGGACATTGGATATTGGCTGTTAGTTGGCAGTGCGTCGATGCAGCATTTTGGTTCACTAGTTGGCAGTGCGTCGACTCAGTACTTTTGGTTGTGTCAGTTGGCAGTGCGTCGACTTGACATTTTGGTTCTACTAGTTGGCAGTGCGTCGACTCAGTATATTGGTTGTATCGGTTGGCAGTGCGTCGACTTGATATTTGGGCTTTGCGTCACCATCTGGACGCTGTCGCTACAAGGGATCTTAATACTTCGTATTAAGCTCTGACTTGTTATATTGTTGTTTGTGGATTGGATTAGTGTTGGTTGTGTTTGTATAGAAGATATTGGTTGAGATACCATTGTTTGCTATATATAAATTCTTGTCGTCGACTTCGTCTCCGCGACTATTGATCTGCGTCTATTGAGAGTTGTGATACTGGTGCTCTGTCCACCCCGAAGCCCTCGCATCTTTCACACACTGAGAAGCTGATTACGAGGAGTGTGAACGTGTTTATATTTGGGTTTACTTTTATAGTAGATTCACTTGTGAGCACGCCCTCAGCATTTCACCGGATGCAAGGAGGTTGGGAAGACATGGATTTTTGCATTCTTGGATCGGCACCACAAGCACTTGCAGACCCATTGGAGCAAGCCACTGGATTCCCAACGTGCAAAGAGTCTGAATAAGACAGCAGTGAAGTCGTGGGTCAACTTGGTGAAGAAGTGGGTGGTGGACTCGGGCATTGCACCAGACTGCATCTACAGGATGGACAAAAGCGGGTTTCCAATGGGATACACGGGTAAAGAGAGAGTGGTGGGGGGAAGAGGTGTGAAAACACAACACAAGCAGGGTGGAGCAAGCCGGCAGAACATCACAGTGCTGGTGCCAATCCACAATCCGGTCATCCAGTCCATGCCAATGAGGCTGCCGGCTCCGGATTGGACTCTTGCATTGCAAGGTCGAAATGAGAACGGCTGGAAGGCGAGGAATCAGCTGGAGGTGGAGATTGAAGAGCTGAAGGCGCACCTGAGACAAGCAGAAGTGCAGTCAGCCATGAAAGACCCCATGCTGGAGGAAGTGAATGCAACCATGGTCTTGCAGAACATCACATTGAAGAAGACCAATGAAGCTCTTCACCAGCGGGAGGAGCGGGCAACAAATGAACGTGCTTGCATGTTCAAGGGCCAAGCACAATGCCTGTCATCTGACGAGTTTTTCGAGGAAGTGCAGCGGATGAATAGAGAGAAACAGGAGAAAGATGCCGAAAAGTCAAAAAGAAAGGCAGTGCAAAACAATAGAAAGGCCGCAAAGGCCGCACTAGACAAAGAGTGGGCCCAGATGAAAGCAGTGCATGCTGCTGACGTGGAGGCTTGGGGTCAGGAATGCAGGGAATTGATTAAAGGAGGTTCTTGGAAGAAAGACTTACCAGTAAAACCTAAACTTGGGAAGAAACCGCAGCTTCCGCAACTCGAGGACGACACTGACAACAACAACGACAACGACAACGATGTGGATCAAGAAGAAGGAGTGTGACATCCACTTCTGCCAAAACGTGACACTTGCACTTGCATCGCAAGATTTCTTGCACTAATGGCTTCGACCTCGCTAATCACATTGTAAATTCATATTTTGTATCTTGAGAGTATCTAGTTTGTATCTACATGCTGTATAATAGTTATCTTGACAATGTGTTGTCACTGAGGGCCGGAAATCGATCCATCAATCCACTTCTGCCTATTACACTGTATAGTTGTCATTAGGCGCGGTCAAAATGATTGTTTCATTGACCGGTGATCTACTGTAGTCGGTGTTAAGGGGGCTGCTTTTTTGGCAGTATTCAAGCGGCACATGTTGGTATCTTATCGGGCGCATGAACTTTTTAATTGATTGGAAGGTCTCGGTCTCAGCCACTGGGGAATCTACAGAAATGAATCAAGATCGGAACACCCTCGGTCACTAGCATAATGGAAGTACTTGTCTATATTCTTGTGTTCCGCACGACTTCAAAGCGTTCATTGCTCCGCATCAGCTGCCCAAGCGCATAGCATCGATTGTCTTATTTTCCACTGCTTCTGGCACGAGTGTTGCTTTCTTTACAAAACCATATCGGGCCGGATCAAAACAATTCCCGGTCTCGGATGGAAGTCTTACGATCTTCGCTGTATTTTCCGGCCGGTCCGGAGAAGAGTGCCTGCTCTCCCCGCACGTGGATTTCCAGTAAATTAAGCACCATAGTACGCAGGGTTTCTTGCCATCCGATAGTTAGTTCGGAACGAATGCTTTCCTCCGTTTTACATCCGACCATTCGAAGACCCTATCGCCCTGCGTGGTCGCTCCCGCAGGCTCAATCCGCGACCAGCCGGGCAATGAGCCGATGGGCACGCCGGATGACGACATCCAGTGAGTTGTGAATCCTCTCCCACCTAAGGAACATCCGCCGCGGAGGGTACCCCCCCCTGTTAGGGGTCAAAATTCGACTGATTTGGGTACCTAACAGGGGGGGTACCCTCCGCACTTTTGGCCATCCTCCGCACCAAAACCTCCGCAAATGGGTGCCAAGCATCCGCAACAAGCCCTGTAACCAGCTGCGGATCCATCCGCTCCTGGCTCTCCCCGTGATCGTTGTGATGCCATCATGCAGGCCATCCATGGACCATGTCATGTGACTGTTCTCCAGTGCGGAACCCTCCGCATTTCTTGCTCTTTTATTTTTTCAGTTCTAGCCTGTATATATTGCTTCACTGTGGACTTGAGCCTTCTGTAGCCAATGTATGCAAGTGCTTTTGACTCCCAAATGATTATAGCTGCTTCAAAGACCTCTATGTGCAGCAAACAAAGAGTGTTAGTTGGGCCAATTCAGTGCTTGGGCTGTGCAGATGCTCTGCATTGTTTCTGGATTGCTAAATTGGTTGCTCAGAACCTTAATGCGTAGGATAAACCTAGAACGCAAGCTTCTCAGATGCTGCCAGGTTCCTTAGAACCCAGGTAGGCCTCTCCAGCACCCACAGCAGCTGAAACGTGCGCCATGCGGATGCATCTGCCACCTGCTGTCCAGGGCCAGATTGGGGCAGGCCCTGTTCAGTACGGGCTCTGCAGACAATTCCACTTGCACACCTTCACCTGCCATGATCAGTGCATGCAGCCAGGATCCTCCTGCATTGACAGCATGCTGTGCAGATGCATCCGCCCCTTGCGGTCCAGAGCCAGATTTCAGCATAGGCTCTGTGGATGGTTCAACTTGCACACCAATAGCTGCCAGGCTCCTTAGAACCCAGAGAGCCCTTGCCAGCACCCACAGCAGCGTAAAAGTGTGCCATGCAGATGCATCCGCCACCTGCTGTCCAGGGCCAGATTGGGGCAGGCTCTGCTTGGCACACACTCTGTGGACAGTTAAAATTACAGATGATCACCTGCTATGATTGGTGCATGCAGCCAGGCTCCTCTCACATTGACAGCAGCTTGAGAGCATGCTGTGCAGATGCATCCGCCACCTGCTGTCCAGGGCCAGATTGGGACAGGCTCTGCTTGGCACAGGCTTTGTAGACAGTTAAAATTGCACACTGTTAGCTGCTATAGTTGGTGCATGCAGCCAGTATCCTCCTGCATCAACCACAGCTTGAATATGTGCTGTGCAGATGCATCCGCCCCCTGCGGTCCAGAGCCAGATTTCAGCACAGGCCCTGCAGACTCTTTGGCCTGGGGTTGCCCTCTGCATCAGAGCTCTGCAGATGCAGCCCAATCATCTGCAGCAGGCTCTAAAAACATCTGCTGATCCATCCGCATCTCATTTTACTGGTGATGCCCTTGATGGCATCATTTTGGTGCATTGCAGATGGTCCTTGAACATCCGCACAGGGATTTGATGGGTCCTGCGGATCCATCTGCACTCAAAATAATCTTTGCAGGCCCTGCTTCTTCTACGTGAATGGCCTGAAGAGCCTCTGAAACATTGTTCATCTGGTGCACAAATGGATCTGCACATTGGAATGGGGGCTGTGGCTCTGTCCCACAAGCCAATCTTATGCAGCATATATCTACTGACATTTTAGCCAGTGCACCGAGCTCCAGAGGCTCTGGGGACATCCAGAGCACACAAGGAAATGAACTGCTGATGCATCTTCAGCCAAATTGGCCAGCTAAATATGTGGCTGCTGCCCAGACAGCCCAAATACATTACATCACTTGAATGAATAATGCTATTGACCAATACAATTCATTACACAATTTCTGGAAGGGATATTGCATGGAATTTGATATGTAAGCAAGCCAAACAGTGATTCTCCTATCTGCAGATGCTATTTCAACCATCCGCAGAAGCATCTGCAGCAGCTAGTGACATGGTTGCGGATGTGTCACATGACCCTCCGCAGTCTCTTTGTGGGACATATCTGCTCAATATAGCCTCAATGGATGTCCTCTGTCTCTGCAGCATGTATCTAAGATGTCTTTTTTGCTACCTGCATAGTTCTATCAACAATAGGAAATTTATCTGTCCTGCACAGGATTTGAAAATTTTTTGCACCATAATTGTTGCTCATATACAGGTCGGATAAGCTCAGCTGTCCCACTAGGGAATCGAAACTTGTCAGAGACAAGCTATAAGCCAGCAGACACTGAACCTGGAAAGAACCTATCTGTACAATATAACAAAAGTGAATTGAACATGATTCATATTTCAAGCTTTACACATTCATACATGTCTTGCAATTCAAGGGCCAAGACTTTAAGACACAGCATTCAATGTTTTGAGCTCAAAAAAGTCTCTTAGATCAAAAATATTTTCGATTTTGGTCAATGAGCAGGTTGAGCTCAGTACTACCATAGGAAACTGTGTTCAGGTCATGGCACTTTTCTGCATGACAAAAATATTTTCCTCAGTGAGCTGAATCGAGTTTATATTCGAGATGGGGCATATCTAAATAGCATCTGAACAAATTCTGAGCAGGATCGTAGCATCATAGCCTTCACAGGGACACAATTTTGAAATTTTGATCTTGCGGATGCATCTGCGGATCATTCAAACTTGCACTGAAGAAAGCTGTGATGCTACGATCCTGCTCAGAATTTGTTCAGATGCTATTTAGATATGCCCCATCTCGAATATAAACTCGATTCAGCTCACTGAGGAAAATATTTTTGTCATGCAGAAAAGTGCCATGACCTGAACACAGTTTCCTATGGTAGTACTGAGCTCAACCTGCTCATTGACCAAAATCGAAAATATTTTTGATCTAAGAGACTTTTTTGAGCTCAAAACATTGAATGCTGTGTCTTAAAGTCTTGGCCCTTGAATTGCAAGACATGTATGAATGTGTAAAGCTTGAAATATGAATCATGTTCAATTCACTTTTTTTATATTGTACAGATAGGTTCTTTCCAGGTTCAGTGTCTGCTGGCTTATAGCTTGTCTCTGACAAGTTTCGATTCCCTAGTGGGACAGCTGAGCTTATCCGACCTGTATATGAGCAACAATTATGGTGCAAAAAATTTTCAAATCCTGTGCAGGACAGATAAATTTCCTACTGTTGATAGAACTATGTAGGTAGCAAAAAAGACATCTTAGATACATGCTGCAGAGACAGAGGACATCCATTGAGGCTATATTGAGCAGATATGTCCCACAAAGAGACTGCGGAGGGTCATGTGACACATCCGCAACCATGTCACTAGCTGCTGCAGATGCTTCTGCGGATGGTTGAAATAGCATCTGCAGATAGGAGAATCACTGTTTGGCTTGCTTACATATCAAATTCCATGCAATATCCCTTCCAGAAATTGTGTAATGAATTGTATTGGTCAATAGCATTATTCATTCAAGTGATGTAATGTATTTGGGCTGTCTGGGCAGCAGCCACATATTTAGCTGGCCAATTTGGCTGAAGATGCATCAGCAGTTCATTTCCTTGTGTGCTCTGGATGTCCCCAGAGCCTCTGGAGCTCGGTGCACTGGCTAAAATGTCAGTAGATATATGCTGCATAAGATTGGCTTGTGGGACAGAGCCACAGCCCCCATTCCAATGTGCAGATCCATTTGTGCACCAGATGAACAATGTTTCAGAGGCTCTTCAGGCCATTCACGTAGAAGAAGCAGGGCCTGCAAAGATTATTTTGAGTGCAGATGGATCCGCAGGACCCATCAAATCCCTGTGCGGATGTTCAAGGACCATCTGCAATGCACCAAAATGATGCCATCAAGGGCATCACCAGTAAAATGAGATGCGGATGGATCAGCAGATGTTTTTAGAGCCTGCTGCAGATGATTGGGCTGCATCTGCAGAGCTCTGATGCAGAGGGCAACCCCAGGCCAAAGAGTCTGCAGGGCCTGTGCTGAAATCTGGCTCTGGACCGCAGGGGGCGGATGCATCTGCACAGCACATATTCAAGCTGTGGTTGATGCAGGAGGATACTGGCTGCATGCACCAACTATAGCAGCTAACAGTGTGCAATTTTAACTGTCTACAAAGCCTGTGCCAAGCAGAGCCTGTCCCAATCTGGCCCTGGACAGCAGGTGGCGGATGCATCTGCACAGCATGCTCTCAAGCTGCTGTCAATGTGAGAGGAGCCTGGCTGCATGCACCAATCATAGCAGGTGATCATCTGTAATTTTAACTGTCCACAGAGTGTGTGCCAAGCAGAGCCTGCCCCAATCTGGCCCTGGACAGCAGGTGGCGGATGCATCTGCATGGCACACTTTTACGCTGCTGTGGGTGCTGGCAAGGGCTCTCTGGGTTCTAAGGAGCCTGGCAGCTATTGGTGTGCAAGTTGAACCATCCACAGAGCCTATGCTGAAATCTGGCTCTGGACCGCAAGGGGCGGATGCATCTGCACAGCATGCTGTCAATGCAGGAGGATCCTGGCTGCATGCACTGATCATGGCAGGTGAAGGTGTGCAAGTGGAATTGTCTGCAGAGCCCGTACTGAACAGGGCCTGCCCCAATCTGGCCCTGGACAGCAGGTGGCAGATGCATCCGCATGGCGCACGTTTCAGCTGCTGTGGGTGCTGGAGAGGCCTACCTGGGTTCTAAGGAACCTGGCAGCATCTGAGAAGCTTGCGTTCTAGGTTTATCCTACGCATTAAGGTTCTGAGCAACCAATTTAGCAATCCAGAAACAATGCAGAGCATCTGCACAGCCCAAGCACTGAATTGGCCCAACTAACACTCTTTGTTTGCTGCACATAGAGGTCTTTGAAGCAGCTATAATCATTTGGGAGTCAAAAGCACTTGCATACATTGGCTACAGAAGGCTCAAGTCCACAGTGAAGCAATATATACAGGCTAGAACTGAAAAAATAAAAGAGCAAGAAATGCGGAGGGTTCCGCACTGGAGAACAGTCACATGACATGGTCCGTGGATGGCCTGCATGATGGCATCACAACGATCACGGGGAGAGCCAGGAGCGGATGGATCCGCAGCTGGTTACAGGGCTTGTTGCGGATGCTTGGCACCCATTTGCGGAGGTTTTGGTGCGGAGGATGGCCAAAAGTGCGGAGGGTACCCCCCCTGTTAGGTACCCAAATCAGTCGAATTTTGACCCCTAACAGGGGGGGGTACCCTCCGCGGCGGATGTTCCTTAGGTGTCCTCTCCCCGGTTCATGCACCGTGGAGAGTCTGCTTCTCTGATCCCAGTTGATCTTCAGACCACACATGGAGATCTCGCGAGGCCACTCTTACCCGATGCGCTGCGGACACCGGATGGCGACCACCGGACAAATCGTGCTGCACATGCAAACCTCGGCGTCCAGTCCTCTATTCGGATCCTAATGCGGTCTCACGATACGCGACGATTGAGGCCCGACGCACTGGGGCGGAACTCACTCACGACTTCACGTTTGTCGAGTGTTCATGGATCTGTAGCAGCCCATACATTCTCGTAAGTTGCTACGCAACGCAGTGGTGGAATCCAATCGATCGTGTTCCCATCCATGATTGCGAACTCTTTGTCCGAGCAGTCATCAGAAAAACATGCAGGGAATCTTCATTTCAATTTCCATCAGCTTCTTCGAACAGTTGCCTCCTACACTTGCTCTAAACGACGCCGTCGATGAAACCAATCATCCAAGACTGTGGATGGCATTCACGCGCATCAGCTCAGCGTCAAGAAGAACCGTGTCCATATCGATGCTTGAATAGTCGGCGAGACCCTCTTCCTCCTCGGCAGATTCCGGGGTGAGACGATGATATAATTTCGAGATATTTCTCAGCGGCACCTACCAGGGGACGCCCTGGATTCAGCCAACAGTCGAAACAGCCTTCCACGTCTATTCCCCATCCCTGCGACCCGATGCATCCCGCGCTGGAGGTTGCCGAAATTCGCAACCTCATTTGCGAAGCTGTTGAGCGCGACGAGCTCAAGGGGCTCCTCGCAGTGCTTGCCCAGACTTGTCGAGCGTTTTTCCAGCCTGCGATTGAAGCCCTGTGGGCTAGCGTCGAGCTCGGGGATTGGCTGAGATACACGATGCCAGAAGATGTGTGGGATGCCGGCTTGGATTCCCGTACGTCCAGTCAGTTGCGCTTCCGTGCTATTTTTGCATGCGCCACCCATGAAGCGCTGACTTCTCTGCCACCAAGGAATTTTGTCGCCGCGGAGAGACATTGTCCCCCAAGATTGGACACGCTCGGTTATCTACGGCACTTGCATCCGCGATTTGGCCTGTCCGTCCTCCGGAGGATCCGCGCTCGATGTTGCCCAAGCGCTGGGTGCAATTCTCACCTGCCCACCCCCCGGAACCTGCCTCGTCTCGCTCAAATCGCTCACCTGGCATCAGAACAATCTTACGGCTATGCGCCCGTTCCTCGGACCGAAGCTGACCAGCCTTCACATCTGGTCTCCCTGCTTAGAGGGGAGTACTGGAGAAAACATGCTGTTTCTGTCGGAGGTCTCGCACCGGTTCGCCAAGACAATGCGGGATGTTGGCTTGCACTTCGATACGTCGGACGACGATGGGCCCGCAGATCTACTCTCTTCTGCGTTCGCTGGCTACGAAGATTTGCGTTCAGCTTCGGCGCACCTGGCAAACCAGCGGACTCTCGTTTGTCTAGGTGCGCTTCCACGACTCCAGTCCCTCTCGACCACGTTTGTCACCAATATCGAGGATCTCGCAATGCTCTCCGTTGATACAGCATTCTTTCCTGCCCTGGAAATGCTCGATCTGCAATCTGTCACACAGGCGGAGGCAATCCTGTTTCTCTCAACGTTGACCAGGTCGCCACTGTCAGCCCTCGGACTCGGACTCAAAGAACTCGTTCTCAATTCCGCCTTCGAAAACCTAATATCGACCGTGAGGAGCTGTCCTGCATCGGAACTCCGCATCCTGGACATCTCAAGCTCGGATCACCCCGAGGGTGGCGACTTATGGAGCCTGGGCCTCCTCTGCTCCCCGTTTTTTTCCTCTCTCACGCGCATTTATATCAAATCCCACGTCGGTTTCGACATCACTAACGATAGTCTAAGCGCTCTTGCGCAGAACCTTCCGCGCCTGCTCGACCTGTGGCTTTGGACCGCCGACCCCGGCGGCAAACTCGTCACGCTTCCCTGTCTTGCAACCTTCGCCGAACACTGCCGCTCACTCCGTACGCTCAAGATCCCCCTCGACGCGCGTGATGCTCCAAGGGCCTCCAGCCTTCTGGTGTCTCCCCCGTTCCCACGTCAGATGGCACTGCGTGAGCTGATGGTGCTAAAGGCCGGGATCGAGCACCCTAGCGACGTCGCAGCGTATCTCAACATGCTGTTCGGGGCATTGACGACAATCACGACCAGGGCCGACGAGCGCGACGGGGCCAGTTATGACGGCGCAGATGAGGACTCGTGGACTCGTAGCTATTGGCGAGAGGTGCACAGGTAGGTACCGACGCTCAATGTGGTGAGAGCGCTGGAGAGAAAGTTGATGGAGATCGAGACACAAGAGGTGCGCGAACAAGCGATGACGGGCTGGAATTAGATCGGGTCAGAGATGAGCATTGGCACAGAAACATTGGCAGTCACTTCCCACGGAATTTGCTAAATGGCAAGTCCTCTCCCTCCCCCTCTACAACTTTCTGTGACATAAGGGACGAGTATATACGTGACTTGTAGGAGTGGGACCCGTATTTTGATGAGTCTATACAAGATTAGTAACTAGGCATCCACATCATGCCGGGCTCACTGAAAGTGCCGCGGAGTGCCGCAGGAGCACTCCTGCGGTGCTCCTGCGGTACTGTCATGGATTATGGACACGGCTACAAAGGCTCTACACAATCTTAAATAAGTACATTTTGTATATTTAAATACGACGTGAAGCAGCTGCTATCAGACTAGATCATTATGACTTATCATCAATGAGTCATTTGTGATCCTGAAGTCCTTGCGCGTTTCGTGGTCCTGAAACGCGTCAGGGATTCATGTTTTGATGAATCCGAAACACTAGCTAGATAGTATATAAAGCAGAGTCCCTCCTGCTGTGAGGGACATCTTACCTTTGATTCAAATCCACCACCTGCTCACAGTACTTAGTGCACCCTGTGCCTAATTATTATCCAACCTAGTCTTAGTTATACTTGAATTGCCAGATTCTAGTCCCTCAAGACTTATATTCTTACTCTTCTATAAGAATATACCCCAACTTTGCAGCTATCTTGCTAGAGCTAGCTGCTTCATTGGTTAAGTGCTCGTTTTGCCAAACTCAAGCACACCCTTTGTGTTGCTAGACTGAAAGGTTCTGAATATCATTCAGTAATTCGCTTTACTGAGTTTCATTAAAACAGTAGTAGAGCTACTGAGGGTAGAGAACAGTGAGATCCAGTATTTGGACTCAAAGTGCGTCAATTTATCGAATTTAAATTACTAATCTATTTGCAGATCCTGCCAAATAGCTATATCCTTAACAGGTACTCCAAATACTCCACATCACAGATCTCGATGACAACGACACCTTGGACACCCCAAAATCCTACCTCGAGAGGTACCTTTTTGAGGCCCAAACAAGGTACCTCACTGCTCAGTGGTAGTGGGGGGCTGTGGGCTGGGCAGATGTGGGGGGCCCCATAGGCAGATGTGGGGGGGCTCTGGGGGGGCCCACCCCAGATCCTACCTGGCACGTTAGTGCCCGAAAAAAAATGCATTTTTTGATCTCAAAATTGCCTATTTTAGAAGATTCTGAGACACTTGGCCAGAACTAGAAATCAGGATAGGGTATTGCTTAAAAATAGAATGTAGCTCAATGCATCCAGCTATAACGAGCCAGTGTAGTAGTTTTTGTTAACAAAACTGGTACAGAGCAAGTAAGTGTTAACAAAACTGGTACAGAGCAAGTAAGACCAATGTATTATGTGTACAGAGAAAGAATATAAATGATACACACCTGGTACAGAGCAAGTAAGACCGATAGGGTCAACTGCTCTGTCCAGGTCACATGTGAGATCCTAATCTAATCTCATCGTCTTAAGGACGCTGGTCACCATCTGTTAACACCCCCCCTTGACCTGCGTCGAGATTAAGCATGTCAATCCACTTCGTGTGTGTTGGCAAGGGGAGCGGCTTTGTGAATAGGTCGGCAACGTTGTTCCGACCTGCAACATGGATGATGTCAATAAGACAACGAATGGTACAATCACGGATGAAGTGTTCGCAAATAGCAATATGCTTCATTCGAGAATGTGCATGCGGGTTGTGTGTGCATGCCACCGTTCCCTGGTTATCACAGAACAATGTTGTTGGCCCTTGCTGTGAGAAACCAAGTTCATGGAACATGTTGCGAAACCAAAGCACATCCTTTGCACAATGAGTCATTGCAAGATATTCTGCCTCGCATGAGGACAGAGCGACGACGGCCTGCTGCTTTGAGCTTCATGCAAGTGGAGAGTTGCCCATGAGGATGAGGAATCCGGACACGGACTTCCGAGAGTCGGGATCTGTTCCCCAATCCGAGTCTGTCATGGCAACAAAAGTGGGAGTGGTACTCGATGCTTGCTTATCCCTGAGAGTAACGCCGTAGTGGGATGTGCCTTGCAAGTAGTGCAAGAGATGCTTTGCGGCAGCAACATGTGCAGGGCCAAAAGTCGCCATGTGCCTGGCCAACTTGCGAACAGCAAATGCAATGTCAGGCCGTGTGCATGTGGAAAGATACATGCACTTTCCAACAACAGCCGCATAGGGAAAGTCCTTGGCTTTCTCGTGCTTGTCGGCAGTGGCAATGGTAAGACGCACATTCGGTTTCATTGGCGTGTGTACTGGATTGCATCCCTCCATGCCAAAAGTGCATAAGATAGCGCCAATATAGGCCTTCTGATCGAGACGGATGCCATTGTCGGTTTGTGTGATTGAGCATCCCAGATGGAACTTGGGTTCCCCATTGTCGGTAAGCTCAAACTGCTTAGCAAGCTCTTCAACCACACTGTCCGACTCAGCGACCAAAGTAGATGCTATGAGCATGTCATCGACGCTCGCAGTGAGGAAAGATTTTCCGTTCCTGCGGATTTGGATGTAGACACTCCAATTGGATTCCGTTTGTGTGAACCCAATGCCCTCCAAATGGGAGTTGAGTTCGAGGTACCACTGACGACCAGCTTGCTTTAGTCCATACAGTCCCTTCAGCAGATGCCAGAATCCCTTGCCAAGCATGGCCGGTTTGCAAAGGTATATCTCCTCCTCAAGTGGCCCATTTAGGAAGGCAGTCTTGACATCGACTTGGCGTAACACCATGTCATAGCTGGCAGCGAGCGCGAGGACAAGACGGATCGACTCCCAACGAGCAACCGGTGCAAACGTGAATGTGTAATCCTGGCCAGGGATCTGCGTGAATCCCTTTGCAACAAGCCTGGCTTTGAACCGTGCTATCTTCCCGTCCTGGTTGCGTTTGAGGTGTAGCACCCATTTTGACTGGACTGGCTTGCGTCCCGCGGGCAGCTCTTCCACTTCCTCGTACACACCCTTCACTTTCAGAGATTCCAACTCCTTGTGTAATGCAGCTAGCCAATAGTTCCAGTATAAGCTGGCTTCAGCCTTGTGGAGAGTTTGTGGATCCCGTGCATCAGGGTCGTCAATAGGATTGGTGAGAGCAGTGAATACAAACTCCTCGACTGTGCTGACAGATGCTTCGGCTTCGGCCATGGCTGTCATGACAATGGGGAGCTTGTCAGGGGAACCCCTGCTTTCGTCCGATCATCATGGGATCTTGCATGTGACCAAGCACGTGCCATCTGTCAAGCGTCACATGCTTTGGTCCGGACTCCCCTGCCAAGCGCATCCACATGACACTCCGGCCCGGACCCCCATTGTTCCGACGGTCCGGCTCCCATTGTTCCCCCCGATCCGGCCCCTCATTGTTCCCTGGCCCCATTGTCTGGCGCTTCCATTGTGCTTGGTCATCCATTGTTCCGTAGGCTATATATAGTGGGCCCTGACAAGGAGAGTCCCCAACTCGGTTTCTCTTTGGACTCTCCCTTGTCAGGTTTGCCAGTCTCCTGTACTAGTCGATCCCCTTATCTGACACTTTGGACTCTCCCTTGTCAGGACTCTGAGATCGGGCCTCGAGGTTGCCCTTACAGAGCTCCTCAAGTGTGTATTCAATCTCGACTTCGTTTCCGCATTCTAAAGCGCTCTCCAGAATCCTCCCCCCCTCGACCATGGAGTGGTTGACGAGATAACACGCAGGAATCCGGCGCACGCAAGATGATTGACGACGTCCAGAGCCAGGCGCAGAATCATCTAAGTCAGGCATTGTCGCATCCTTGCCGCCATGAACATGCTGGGACTCGCGTCCAACATCTGCGGTTTCCGCAGCAGTCCTGGGGCAAAGTTAGTCCTGACCAAAAATGGTCACAAGAGGACATACAGCAAAGTTCCCATCGCTGAAGACGGTTTCGTCATTGCTAAAGACGGCATCGTCGCTGAAGACGGCATTGTCACTGAGGACGGCATCGCATCAGTGTGCGGAACCAACAACGTCACCTATTTCATATTCTGGGAGAATATGACTCCAAAAACTCATTGCAATGTTCAGGGGGGCGTGGAATTCACCCAGAGAGTCCCTATTCCACTTACAATGTAAAAGTACATGCACCTAAATGAAACAGATACAGCCTGATTTTTAGGTCAATGAAGTGCGGAAAATTTCCGAAATGGTTGGTACAATAAAGTGAAACATTGCTTCGAGTTATGGGAGCAAGAATACCTGCATTACAAAGGGCACTTTGATTTCCCACCTGTTACCATTGCTTTCACTGTATTCTTGTTTCTATGTCCATATCAATCTCACTGACTCTTCTTTGTAATAATGAAAGCATGACTGATGTGAATTGGGGGTGTAGAAACCACTGGTTATGTATCAAAGCAAGATGGGTTGGAAATGGTTACTATGCATTTATATATACAATGGCTGGCTCTACTGTGAGATCTAAGACAGAAGTACATTACTTGAGAGGCATAGAATGTTAAAGAGAGATAGGGATGTGCCTAGAGAAGCATGTGTTGTCATGGAAAGCTAGGTAGGGTATCACTGAAAGAATTGGGACATGGAGGCATTGTATAACAATGCAGTGGCTTTGAAGAGCACAAATGTAAGTAATTATATGGTAGAATATACCCTGAAAACCTAAGGCAGAACCCACACCATGAGCATGAGCTATTCCAAAATTGAGATGAATTTCCTTTTTGGGTTGCTATAAGTTGCATCAAATTGTCCTAAAAAGGAAGTCACATGTTCAACATGTTCAATTCTGATTATGTAACTTGAACATGCAACCCAAAATGGAAGCTGTGCTGCAATAATGATCCAATCACACACAGCCGCATCAAGATTAGATAAGTCTTCAATTTGATTATCAGCGACTACAATTGAGTAAGCAGATACCATCAATATGTGTCTGACAGATAAGATGAGATTGAGATTTACATCATCAGTGTCATCAAAAATTGATGGGAGATCAAAAGCAGTGCCATTCCACATGGCAGTGAAGCATGTGACTGATGCTGACAAAGAAATGATGGGAAATCAAAGTTGTAGCCCTCGCAAAACTGAACAAGTTTCACCTATACA